GTTGTATCTTATATTATAAATTGTTTTGATTAATCTTTTTTATGACCTCTTAGCTCGGTCAGCCTTGGAAAATAGATCTTTATCTCAATTTTTTCATCTGTTTAAAAAATTAATTTAATGTTTATAATCACCAACTTAGCCAAACATGGCCGATGTGATCTTTCATAAATGATGCTGATCGGGTGTCCTGATCCGATATCAATATCTGGTATCGGTCCGATATTAGCCAAAAAAATGAATATTGGATATTGGCCTGCATCTAAAATCTCTGATTTAAGCACTCCTTTTAATTTATTTTATTGAATTGTACAATATTCTTAGGTTTAAGTTAAAATGTATGTAACACATTGGTTAATAATAAAAGATCAGTTTTTCTGACCCTATCTTTATCTTACCTTTCTCTTGTTTACTATTGTTCAGTGTTTRACTTGATCAAGACTTTTTGAGATTTCAYACTACAAAACTAATAAAATAAATGTGAATTGTTCTGATATTGTACTGGGTCAATAGCTGTATTGTATCGGAAGTGAAAAAGTTGTATTGGGACACCCAAAATCTGATTTGATTACTACCATAGGAATTAGAATTAAAGTAAATGATTTGAGTGTTGTTTATATATTCTGTACCTAGGTGTGCCAGTTCTGGGAGATGAAAATGACTTGACTACACAGAAATGCTGCCTCTTGTCTAATTCCAGTAATCCAGTTTTCTGTGATGATTCATTTGATCACAGCATCAATCTCACAAACCACAGCCAATAACTCAGAGTACACCTGACACCTCCACATGGATCAGAAAAAATGGAGCTGGAAAACACAAGACTTATAGCCAAGATTTGATATTTCAACTCTCCCAAGTTACAAACAATCATCTCATTAACAGGGGAACAGAATACAGAAATAACAGTTTTAGGGTTCAAGTTGATTTTTAGACAAAAAAACATGCTATTTTCAAACTGTTTAAACAGAGATCTGTGGATATTTCAAATAAATACCCAAAGAATGTTCAGAGGAAAACTCTACTGTCGATGACAAATTAAGATTTCTCAAGGATCTCAAAACAGTTATCAGCAGTTAGACTTACATCACAGAGAGCAGCAAAGCTGTCGATGTTCTGTACAGGATGGTGAGTGAACGTGATGAAGGGGAAGTCTGTGGCAAACGGGTTCCATTTGGAGACAAACGAGGGTTCTCTCAGCCGGTCCCAGAAGACACGCACCCCCTCCCCTTCTCTCCTGAAAACACACAAAAACACTGAAATGTCAGAGATATCCCACTCATGAACCACCTCAGCTTCATATCCATACGAGGTCTTTTTATGAGGACAGTGTTACAGTGTTTTCTCCAGTGCATTACAGTATTGGTGGGCGGCCGGGCTTTACTTAGCTTGAAACCTACAGAACCCAGATAGTAAAAGATGTTAACCCAATGGCTGTGTCCAAAACGACAGGACGGGTCCTCCGGAGGACCC